CCCCAAAACCCCAAAACCCCAAAACCCCGTAGTAAGAGATAATGGTATTTATTAAGTTAAAAACTGACAATAGCTAGAAATGAATTTCAAATATGATTATTCTCAATTCCAGTGAAGATTAACTTAAGCCATTCTGAACTAATCTCATACCAGTATGAAACAGCAATTGATGTACCTTTTTAATCCCCTTCGATTTATTACCACCAGTATGCTGGCAGATATAGACAGTCTCCCTCTTCTATATCAATATAATACTTCACTGCCTGCTCAAATCCAATAAATTATCTTTGCTCTTGTTTGTTGAAATCTACAGGTGAAAAATTCGGAGGCATCATTGGAAATCCACCTGCGTATGTTGGTATTCTTTCCCATGGAGATACTAATGTCACATTGAAAAAACCTTGTGCTACGCAAAACATTCTATCTCTATTATCATAATGAGCTGCAATTCTCAAATCAACACCTTGACTAAAAGTGGTATCTTCCAATTTCAAGATTTGTTAGCTTACTGGAGGTTGATATACATCTTCTAGGAGAGTATCTGGTAATGATTACTCATAAATAGCATATTAGAACTCATTAGTCTTAGACTTCTTAAGATGCATTTTTTAATTGAAGTCTTCGTATCTAATATATTCTCTTCTGTATTCAGGAGAGAATTATTATCCGAACTTGGCAGCACCCTTAACTTTATCTACTTAGACAATGGAGTGATTACCTATTTTCTCTCTCAAGTAATTTTCTTGCTTCCAGTTGTCTAAAGCTCTCCATTCCTCCACTTAACCTATAAACAGACATGGCTGGTAATCCAATATGAGTTCAATATGGAAATCTTTGAATGTCATGTTATTACTACACTCATTGATAGTTTCTGGGATGAAATTCATTGGTTTAGCATTACCCATGAAATACTCCAATAGTGTAGGTTGATCAAGATAATATCTAACAGTATTATTAACATAACTTTATGGATTTTTTAATTCCTCATTCATTCCAATGATCCCTGCAATAAGAAACACTGCTAAATAATATCTTTTAAGGACATAGAAAAAGCCACACCCTTTTCTTTTTGCTGCTAAGTATCTTTAAGTCGACGGACAGGTTGGATCCTCACAGCAATAACCTGGAGGAGGGGGCTATTAAAATTATTATGTGGGTGAAGGTCTTGGTTAATTATAAACTGGTTACTGTTATGTCTATTATTGGAGCATTTACTACAAGAATAGAATCTACTATTGAATCTGTTCTGTTGTCAGAGATAACTAGGGTATCTATTAATTTGTTTAAGCCATTAATTTGCTTTAATTTAATAAAGTTATTACTGATCTAACATTTCTTTGCACATAAATTATTTGAATAACGGGGTTTTGGGGTTTTGGGGTTTTGGGG